CTAGGATTTGAACTACAGTTTCCACTTTATCTTCTACGGACACTTCCTGAGAAGTACTGGATTCTATAACAGATGCAAAAGTTTTGACATTACAAGTACGGAAGGCTTGAGCCTCTCTGCACTGCTTTACAGCCATTAACGCAGTTTTGCGACGTGTGACCTACTTCGTCACATCTGTTACACAGCACATTTGGGCATTCTGGGGCAAAGTACTCTTCCTTTTGACACTTCGCGCACTGTTTGGCCATCCCCGTATAATTAACCATTGTCCGAAATTGTCCAACCTGTACAAAATTAGGGATAAGTTGAAACATGTTTATCTTAACAATTCGAGCTCTAGTATGAACTTTAGAGTCTTGATAGAGTTATCTGACAGCTTGGTGAACTTTGCTTTATATCATTAACGAACTTGCAAAAAACTTATCAAGAACTTCATGAGGTATCAGTCTAATCCTAATCCATATCGGGTTGTTCCCGGCTGATTTGAATTTTCGAAATTCACTTTTGTCATGAATTCCTCCTCGACTTCAAGCTGAAACTGTAACATTATAAGATGTAAAAGTGCAACACACTCTATCCCTGCCTTGCGGTTGCAGACAATCAACAGAACCATAATATAATGCCTCTTCAATGAGTTCAATGATTTCATGAGCAAAGGAACCTTGTACCGGAACTTGAAAAAACACAGAATTCCTACGATTAACATTAATATGTTGTGCTATAATGGCGTCTCTTCTCTGCTTTCCAGATAAAGAAAAACAAACTTTGTTAATCTCCCAACCCAAAAGAGAAAAAAGAAGTATATTAATAATTAAGCCAAAAAAACCGTTAACTTTTGTTAAGCCTAAAAGTGAAGTCTTTTAGATTTTATATCTCTCTTTCAACTGAGTGAAAATATGCCAATTCATCCAAACTAGTCCTTCACTTCTCCACTGGAATGAGCCGTGTATTATAAGTGAAATTGACGCTTTTCTGTTCAGAACAGAATGTTATACAATAGGTCAGTTAATAGATACAAACCTTCGCTTTCTATTGGTTATAGGTAATATACAATTAAACGTAAGAGAGAACTATTAACTAATCCTGAAATGGAAGATGTAAAGGTGGGTGTGGAAGGAGAGGTCTGGTTTTCTATTTGATAGCTCTGTAACCAAACAAAATTGAAGGCTATAAAAATTATTGTTTGTCTGAGCAATTACGATTTTATAGTGGGTCATTTACGTTTAATTTTGTAGGTACTGGAGGGGTGGTGGATAAAATAGAGAAGATTACTAGAGAAAATGTGTCACCTGTGTAACACTAGGGGAAATTCAGGATTTATTTAAATATTGCTCTACAGAGGTAAGAATTTAACTTATGTACTATTAACATATGGATTATTAGCTAAGATTTTATGTTATACTAATTGATATAACATAACCAAAAAGTATATTATAATATTTAGAATTTAACCACACACCTGCTGAGCTACATCACATAAAGGTAGGGAAGGAACGTTGCCAGTCCTCGAGTGTTTTCTTGCACTGTGGGGTCGGTGTAAGTGCTCATTGTAATGGGTGTGTTTATCGCAAAGTTTCGTTGCAACCCCTTCAATAATGAGTATCAAACGTAGTGCTAGTAGCAGTGAACGTGACGAGGTAAGAAAAAGTGCAAAGTATTATGCTCAATGTAAAAATGGAAGTAATAAGGCGCAATAGAAATGGTGAACGTGCAGTTGATATTGGGAGCCATTTGAAACTTTCTCCAACGTACGTACTGTTACGCCTCCAGTCATTAGTTAATTTTCCGTAAATTCGTTCCGACGAAACTTTAGCGACACAAGTCCTTTCTTAAATAAAACTGGTTTATTCTTTCCAAATACAACTTTATGATACACTCAACTTCAACAGTCGCGCTATAACAAACTATAGTTCACGTCTCACGAGCTCGACTTCAACAATACGTCTCTCTCTGACTGCAGTTCAATTACTCATTACCTACACACATTGTCCCGTCACGTTGTGACCATCTTATATATACCAGACTACCCTATATCTAGTAATCTTCCGACAATTCCCGAAGGTTCGAGAGAAGGAGTGGCGTGACACTAGTCACGTGACCTCGCCGACGCAACAATATTCTTTATTTTTTATCATTTGTTACTAGGCCTGTATATATGAGGTGCAATAAGGCGTCATGCATTGAAAAATGAAGAAGTTAAAATATAACTGTGAGGAGATGCCATCTTTATATTTAAAGAAATATTGTAAACGGCATATAGGAAGTAGGGTATGTGAATGTTTTTCTCAAGCTCTCTCACTAAGGTCTCTGTCCGCGGAACTGACCTCTAACCATTTTATGCTTGTTATAATTTTCAAATCATATATTTTAATACAGGAAGCGTATCTTCACGACATTTTGCACATTATCAGTAAACATTACAAGGCTTAAGTATTCGAAATAACAGATTTCTATATTATGTTGAGTTTTTTATGTAATGATTTGATCGTGCATTTTTTGTTTCGTTTCGAATGTTGACTGTCAACATGCAGAGTAATTTAGATTTTAAGATTAAAAATATTTTTATGGATCAAAAAACTGTCAAATTTCACATGCGAAATTTTTATAATCTCCAGTTAATTATCAAACGTTTTTTCTTAGAATTTTTTTTATTTTCACTATTGTATCTCTGTATGGGTTTGGTCGATTTAACCGACCTCGTAACCAACATACAAAATTAGGGAGTAGATATAAATTACACTTTTTTTCGTTCCAGAATGACTACATATTATAACAAGAAACCACAAATGTTAAGTCTAAATAGCTTAAATCTCATAACATTATACATCTATATATATTTCATTGATATTTCAGCGTGACTAACTAACATTACAGAAATCGTAATGAATCGGCGCACGTGCAGTCATGTTACCGTATCCAGTAGTATAAAACTGGCCTTTACAAAGTGACCTGTCTTCGGTTTGTTTCTAGTGATCCAGTATTTTGTAAAATACAGTCACATTTCGGTTATAATACATTACATGTGCATATATATTATTACTATTTACAAATAAGTTCTTAAATTTCAGTTATTTTTCTTAAAACATAGAACAGTAAATAAAGAAATATAGAAAACTGATTTTTCTACTTACAAACTTTGTACTCGTTTGCCCGCTTGCCGAAATTTGCTAAGCCTTGTTAAATTTCGGACGTGGAAGAAGTAAAGGAAAAAAAAAAGGTTTTATATATGCATTTTGAAATAACCAAATATTATGAATTAGTCTATCAATATTGCAGAATTCCACTGTGATTTATCGGGCTTACAAACTAAGCAGTATTTGAGTAAAAAATATATTGTTTTTCGGCCAACATTTTCACTTACCACATCCTTCAGCGATCCAAGACAAAGAAATAATCTTGTGAACTTCCTGCTTTCTAGAGACTAAGAAAATCACCAGGAGGATATTCTGAGCTTTTGGTTGGTTTTCACATGTCATAGAAAGAAGTAGATGTACCTAAACAAGTATTTCCAAAAATGGAAAGAGGTCGGCGTGACCACTGTGTTTAAGTCAGTAAATTTAGCACTATCTCAGCAAATAGAAATAATAGGAGGTTCTTATTTTATACTCTAGCTTGTCAATATCGGTAATTTTAATTTCTAATTCGTAAGAAACTATAGACGTTGTATTTGAAAATCACAAATATATAATCTGAACACAAAAAATGATATTTTGGAATTTTGGTTTAACGTTTAGTTTTAAATTAAGAAACAACTGACGTATAATACTGAAATTTTAATTATAATCTACAATATGCTACCAAACTTATTGGCATACATTCATAAAATAGTAGACCAGTCAAGTTTTAAATGTAAGTCTACAAATGTGATGACATGCCCTTTGACCCTCGACCATAGGAAGACACGTAGCGAGAGGGTTAATATACAAGGCGTATTCACCTATATGTTGTAAAGTTACAAAAAATTGGCATTTTTAGACGTCATACGTTAGCGATTTTATAAAGTTTTGTTTCTTCAAGTAGTCACGAATTCCTTTCTCCTCAATCTGCGAATCCCCGTTCCACCAAAACATGCTCGCCTTTTCAGCCGTGGGGGCGTTATAATGTGACGATTAATCCCACTATTCGTTGGTAAAAGAGTAGTCTAAGAGTTGGCGGTGGGTGGTGATGACTAGCTGCCTTCCCTCTAGTCTTACACTGCTAAATTAGGGACGGCTAGCACAGATAGCCCTCATGTAGCTTTGCGCGAAATTCAAAACAAACAAACCATAAAAAAAAATCATTCCTATGAAGCATTCTCTTGATGCTATCAAACTCAATTAAGAAATTCATAGGTGCTTGAGATTTAATATATGTACAATGAAGACAAATCTATTTGTTTGATGGTAATATCTGTGGTCAGATCGACAGTGTAGCTATGGATTCTAGATTAACTCCTTCTTTGAATAAGCTTTTTTGTTTTCGTGATAACCGGTTGGAAGAATAATGTCCATCTTTTTCCAACCGGTTAATTATCGGAGGAATGTAGGAGAAACGTTTACCATTTTTAAGATGGACATTTTTCCAACCATTTATCATGAAAACAAAAACGTTTAGCCCAAAGAAGGAGCTAATCTAGATTCCATAGCTACACCATCGATCATCTTAGATATTACCATCAATCAAAAAATGAGATTCTTAGGTAGCAAAGTTCTTTAACATAAAAATACGGATTTTGGAATGCAAGACTCCTTTGAGTTATTAAAAATTAATTCTGCACTCAATTGTATGTTTTATTGTTTGTTTATGTTTGTAATTTTGCGCAAAGATACTCGAGGGCTATTTGTGTTAGTTGTCCCTAATTTTGAAGTGGTAGACGCATGGGAAGGAAACTAGTCGAAACCACCAACCACTAACTCTTGGGCTACACTTTTACCAACGAAAAGTGGGATTGGTTGCACATTATAACGCCACCATGGCTGAAAGGGTGAGTGTGTTCGGAGACTGGATCCGAACTCGGGACTCGCAGATTCCGAACCACGTGCCCTAAACATTAGGCCCTGCTAGTCCATACTTAATTATAATATTCTTCCAAGTATATTCAATGCCAGAACTAGAACAATAATCTTTACTATAAATTTGTCAATTTTTAACTTCATTAGAAATGACAAATTGTCTTCCAAGGTGTATTTATTACTGGTATAGTCACTTAATAAACCCGCTAATGCATGCTTATAAGCTCTAATACCTTCAACTATAGGTCAGAATGGACATCCTTCCTTATGCACTTTAGAAAATCCATCGAATATGCCTGGATGACTTCCTGATGGTCTAATTTCTAATATTCTATCTGACTTAGTACATTATTTTTAATTTTCATAAATAACTGGTCAAGATTAACAGGTTTAGTTAAATCACTGAAAATGTTGACCACATTACTTAGCCTCTTCTATTAATAACTGTTCAAGATTAACAGGTTGTGTTAAATCACTGAAAATGTTGACCACATTACTTAGCCTCTTCTATTTTATCCATTCTAACAAAATTCTTCCCTCTATTAGCTTAATTAGAACAAAATTAATATTTTATCAAGATTTTCTAATGCAATCAGTTCCTCTTTACCCATTTTAGAAACTGATATTTCGAATTATAATTATTAAAATAAATTAAGGCTATTCCACTTACTTTAGGTATAATATTACTAAAAGACTCTCCAGATTTTGACCAAATAGGTTATCTAGATGTCTAGATTGTGTTAAAATATAATAGGCCTAATAAATGTATTCTAAAAATCATAATTATACTTCGCAAGCTTAGAAAAAGTCGTTCACACCATAGAAATTGTTGTTGTACCAAATGGCTGATATAAATATTGTTCCAACAACTACTGTTTTTGTTTTGTTCCAGTCGGCCTGCTGAGCTCTAGTATTAGGCTAAATGGTTCGTTAGCAATGAATTTTGTAGCCAGTAGTGTAGTTGAAATGCTATTATATACACTTCTTTTTCTTGGAAAACCCTAATGAACTGAATAAAAAATATATTGTTAAAAATATTATAGGCCTAATATGAATGTCTTATGATAATTATATGTTACTGTTAGTTTATAGTAATAAAATATGAATGTGAAGTTTGGAGATTTAAGAATTTAGAATATTCACACATTCTTATATAGACAGGTCTTCTGGTTTTATAAATAAATGAACTTAAAGGGAAATATAAGGTTTTCAGTAAGTTTACATTTATTTTCAACGTAACATTTTAACAACTATGTTTTCAGGAATATATGGCAGCCACACGACCTAATATTGCTGTGTCCAGTCTTCCGAATGGAGAAAAATTCTATCAAAAATGTCTTCAATTTCATACTTCAACTCATATGACCCCTGAAGAGATTCATAACATAGGACTTCAAGAAGTAGAGCGTATTTCTGCTGAAATAAATGAGGTAAGAACCAAATGAAAAACAAATTTAACGTTATCCTTTATTGATTCTGAGTATATTTCTGAAAAATTTGAAAAGTAAAAAAAGTAAAACAAGGAAGGAAAATTTTTATGAAAAAAGAAATAGGAGTTTAATTCTCTTTATACATAAAAGAAAGACGTTCCTTTTTACGACCGTTGATCAGTTTTAAATATTTTAATTGTATATTGTACAACGTTGGTTGTTGAGTATTCTAATAATTTTAGATATTTATACAATTTCCTTGAATTTTATCCAGATGTTAGTCTAAATTTCACGTCTATTAAAAAAAATCCCATTTTTGACTACGTTTTTTATTTTAACTCACAGGATTTGCCTTTTATAAGTAATATATAAACGTGCTTATATAGTTTCAAAGCTTCACATGTGTACAAGAGTAATCACAATTCTGAACTTATATATATATATATACTAGTGGCGACCCACAAAACATTTGCGGTAGTTTTCATGCCCTTCGCTTGAATTTTCCTTATTCTATCATTTTCACGCATTACATTTAAGCTACGCTTTCTTGTAGACATTATGTGTTAGATCGATAAATCCTGGTCTATTTGAAACAACAACAACAACAAAAAACGTGGTCAGACAAACAAACTCACGTAGACGTAACTTTATTTGATAAAACTACACGAAAGTAAACAATGAAGTATGGTAATGATATTTATAATAGTGTACAGAGTATGAAACAGTTATGAGCGTTCAGTGTATGTCACGAGTTTAATGATTTGAAAAAAAGAAACCCATTAAAACGAAGAATAAAACACGCAGTAAAGAAAAAAGTAGTTAAAGGGTGTTTATAGCAGAGTATGAAATGAACGGAAGGTAAATTATTGCAAAATAAAGTAAAAGTAAAGTTGTAATAAAGGCATACTTAACTGATTGTGCAGAAACGTATGAATACCTATTCACAAAGTGATAAGCATATGGTTCTGAATGAACTGCGAATGTATATTTTAGACCTGAATAAGTCGAGAAAGCCATAGCAATTGTATTTAGTGAAATGCTCATTTTTAAGGAAATTACACGCGGATTAAGTGCTGTTTGTGTGAAATACTTTTTTTGAAAATAGAACTAAATGTGAAATCAAAGCCAGCCGTTACATGATGACGACATTGTGCCATCACGAAGCACACTCGTTGCATTAAAAAGTTTGACTAAGCAAAAAACAATTAAGGTGATTTTGAACAGAAAAGTTAATATGCAATTCGGACTCCTCGGACAAAGACCTTTCTAATGATATGAGATTTGTAGTGTTTGATCGAGGAATGTGTGAGAAAAGTTTCGGACAGACACGCGCAAGTGTATTATTTACTTAGATTTATATATACAGCCTACCAATTAGTAAATAGACACCCAGTCCATAAAAAATATAATTTTATTAAATAAACAAACATGAAATATAGGGTACACTCCATGCCTGGCGAAAAACTTGGTTAAGATGTTTGTAGAAATTGATTGATTGATACACTTTCGCAGGAAATGACCAATAATAGACCTTACATAGTGTTTATATCCAGGGGTTGGCCTAACCATGAAAGAGTGGAAATACCATAGCCTTCCAGCCATTTTGTTAGATAAGCTGCTCATTGGTTTAGACAAGTAGGTATTGGTCGAGAACTGTATGTAATAAGCAGCAGTGACCACTAATTCGCATTCCATCAGCTGTGGTTTGCTGGCTTTCTAAGTGGCACCGGCATTATAACAAAAATACCGCCGTATTTTGCCATGTATTGCAGACAATTCAACAGAAGTCGCCAAACCCAGTTACATTCACTACAAAAATAGGTGCAAATCTAAACTAGTCGGACAAGAAAATTGCAACATCTCCAAAAAACAAGAGGATGTGATAGAAGCTGTGATATCACTGCTGTCGACATACCGTATTTTCTGGAATGAAGAGTGGCTTCTCTAGCTGCTCTATCATTGTAGCAAACACTTAAGAAATAGCTTCTATGATTGATAGCTTCTGATGGTATTTGGGTACACAGGCACCTGTCCTTCAACAGTAGTGGCCGTTTGACGTGGGTTATTCTCCACCATTGTAGCAAACACTTGGGAAATAACTTCTATGATTGATAGCTTCTGATGGTATTCTGGTACACAGGCAACTGTCCTTCAACAGTAGTGGTCATTTGACGTTGGTTATTCTCCACACTTTTCCACCATTGTAGCAAACACTTGGGAAATAACTTCTATGATTGATAGCTTCTGATGGTATTCTGGTACACAGGCACCTGTCCTTCAACAGTAGTGGCCATTTGACGTTGGTTATTCTCCACACTTCTCCACTATTGTAGCAAACACTTGGGAAATAACTTCTATGATTGATAGCTTCTGATGGTATTCGGGTACACAGGCACCTGTCCTTCAACCGTAGTGGCCGTTTGACGTGGGTTATTCTCCACACTTCTCCACTATTGTAGCAAAAACTTGGGAAATAAATTCTATGATTGATAGCTTCTGATGGTATTCGGGTACACAGGCACCTGTCCTTCAACCGTAGTGGTCATTTGACGTGGGTTATTCTCCACACTTCTCCTCACAATACGAAGATACTGTTTTGGGTGCTTAGGCCGGTCAGAACCTGGACTTTTGACGCGAGTGAAACGGCATTATCACCTTGTTCACTGTGGCTAGCAGTATTACAAATGTCATTGCGATTTCTTTCTAAGTTTGACCGCCGTCCAAGCATCAAACTAAGGAACCCGTGAAAATACGGTTAATTGCCGTTATCCTTTCGTCCGTGATATTGTTGTTTGTATTCTGTGGTATTTACCTGCTATATCTGTATTTATAAGTTCAGGTTATTTGATATCACGCCATGGACACAGTCGATTTGTATTCTCAGGAGAGAGGGGGGGTGAAAATTGATTCTCCTGCATCTTAAACTAGCATGTGATTATAATAAGTCAAGAATGTAAGATTGCGATGATCAAACTGTAAACCTGATCCTAACGCATCTTAAACCAGCATGTGATTATAATAAGTCAAGAATGTAAGATTGCGATGATCAAACTGTAAACCTGATCCTGTGAAAATTGATTCTCCTGCATCTTAAACTAGCATGTGATTATAAAATACAGTCTTCCACTGAGTAAATAGAAGGATCAGGTTTACAGTTTGATCATCGCAATCTTACATTCTTGACTTATTAGTCTCACTTGGCATTGTGAAACGTTTTAATGTGATGTTATAAAATTATGGAAATCATCTTCAACTAAGCCAGATCTGCTGTAAATCTTGTTATCTCTACGTTCGAGGGCTAACACGACCCTCTTCTTTACCTCTGTAATATATAAATACAACTAGTGTTACGTTTGATAAATTCATTGAAAACTATGCTGATAGCTATTTCACATGCAGCAACTGAGATGTTATACGTTTATAAAAGTCTGAATAATTTTTAACCATTTGGATTTTAGGTTATAAAAAGTTTCGGGTCTGATTTATCCAAGCAAGATTTCTTTGAAAAGCTAAGAACCGATCCACAGTTTTACTTCGAAACAAAAGTAAGTCAAGAATTGACAATAAAATTGAAGTGTTACATGAAAATTTTATAGAAAAATACCGATTTACGGTACATATTTGGTTATTTTAAAAACAATATTTCATTTATTTGAAGTTACTAGCCTTAGCGATTGTTTCAAATTTGCGAGACTATTTTACGGCTGTCACATGACGGAAATACAACCAAATTACTAAGCGGTCAGCTATAAAGTGAATGTTTATTTATTTGCTGTGCCCTCGGAATATGCCCCCCAGTGGCACAGCCGCATGTCTGCGGACTTACGACGCTAAAATCCGGGTTTCGATACCCGTGGTGGGCCGAGCACAGACAGTCCATTGTGTAGCTTTGTGCTTAATAAACAATAAACAAACCCTCCGAATATATCGAAACTTTATTTTCTTTTTATGGTTATAAGCCCATAGACCCCCCGCTAAGCCACCGGGGGGAGGGGGAAGACATAATGAATGAGAACTGTGAGTTTATTTTGGCGGTTTTAGACAGATTTGTTTTAAATTTCTGAAGAAGCGAGGATGAGTTAGAAAGTCTTGTCTGTTGTTGTTTTTTGCTAATAGTAACGTTTCATTTGCTAATTATGTGCATCTTGAATTGTGCTCTAGTATAGTGTTATTTTACCGCCGTGTTTGTGATGATCAGGTACTTCGTCTATTTTGAGTCTTTGAACGCCATATCTGTGTTTAATGTTAACAAATCCTAACTTACTACGGTATTTGGAAAATGTTTGTTATTAGTTAATATGCCATTTTTCTCATCCAAGAACAACAACAGTAATAGAACTAAGCAAACTCCATATTAAAGGTATTCATTTTTAAAGCCAGCTATTTTGCGTTTAATATCGAATATATAAATTCCTTTAACTAAAGTTTCTTAAAAGTATATATACAGTTATGTTAAATAAATATAATAAATTAAAAAGGAATGCTTAAGTGAAGTTAAAAAATATATATTGTAAAAAACCCATTAAAGTTTACTTAATTTTTAACTGTTTTAACAATCCATAGCACGAAAATCTTTACCCAATATAATTGCATTCCCAATAGTCAAAAAATGTCGCTAATAGTATCTGATATGTCTTTCAAAGTTACGCTATTCTAGCTTTGTAATATTTTTATGTAAGTTATCTAGTTTCTATTTACTCATTCAAGTGTATATAAAGGTATATTGTAATTATTAACACCTGTCATACCAGCCAGCTAAGCATCTTTTAGTACTGATCCTAGGCTGGTCAACAGGGGGGGTCATTCTGGAAACCAGTGATTCAGGGTTATCTCGATGAATGAAAATATGACATAATTAAATCTGTATTGATTATACTATGGTGGTGGAACTTTTAATTTGAGAATCGCTAGCAAAATCATCTTGTAATGCATCACAAAATATCGAAACTAATGATTTTTTATATATGATTCCAATCCCTTTGTTTTTTGAAGTTACAAACACTATTGTGACCCTTTTTATGTTTTGTCGCTAATGCAGTAATCATTTGACGAATCTCTGATTCAGCTGGTGTGTCAGATCCATTGGGATATCTTCGAATAAGTTCTTCCGTTATCCGACCTGGACTCACGGCGTAGCTTATTCATTACACTTAAACCATCACTTTCACAACCACATCTAGAACATTTCAAACATGTTTCATTGCTACATACTTTTACTTTACATTCACAAGTTAGCTTCTCCATGTTGGCATGCATGATTTCGGGTCAGGTCACGGATCTGGTACAGCAACCTAGACCTAGAAAACAGTGCCAAACGACTTCTTTTTGTCTAATCAAAACAACCCAAACCTTTCCGGAATGACTCTTGTTTTTTATCCACACCAAGATGTCGGGCAGGCTCGTGTAGCAGGTGTTAATATAGAGTTAATATCCATTGTAAGATAAATGGATTTTTGATATTCGAAAGACAATATGAATTACATCTAATAAGAATTTTGTGTTGTACATTTTGGTATTTTAGGAAGAACTTCTGAATGCAATCAAAGACATAATCGAGAACCAGATTAAGCCGAAGATATCGGACATCTTCAAGAACATTCCTCAAGTCAAGCTGGAGTATTTGTTTTTAAATATACAACATTAATTTTCTTCAATATTGTAAATGAAAATTACTAAACCTTTTCTTACACTTCCTAACATTGCACTAAACTTTATAATTAATTCTAATTTCAAAAAGTGGAAGATCAAGCGAGGTAACTATGATTATATACACCTGGAAAAAAAGTTAAGCACCCCCAAAA